ATTTAAAAACTTATTATGCAAATTTAAATGAATATAAAATAAAAAGAAATAAAAATTTTTATTTAAAAAACTGGGCGCGCTGCTAAATAATATTCTAATGATATTAAAATTAAATTGTTACTCTTAAACTCATTGCAGCGCGCCCAGTTTTTTTAACTAAAATTTTTTTATTTCTTTTTATTTTATATTAATTTTAAATTTGCATAAGTTTTTAAATTTTAATTTTTTATAAAAATGTTTATTTATTCGCGCAATAATTGGACATTACTTTTTGTAGAGATATAATTTTAGAATATAAATTTTGTGTCATTGATAGACTTTTTTCTTAAAAATACTTTTTGTTTAACACTTTTTCACATGGCGCATGGACTTGGCATCTTGTTTATCTTTTTTTTAAAAGATAGTTTTTTTATGGTACAATTCTACATTTGCATATTTAAATTTTTATTGATTCATTATACGACTCTATATATGTCTGCAACTTTAATTTTCCACTGGTACAAGTTTTTCTACTTTCACTTGGCGCAATTTTTTTTTATTTCATTACTTTTGTTACGATTGTACATGGGTTTATAATCGATAATTTTTCATACAATTCTATTGTACATGGATTTGCAATGGATAATTTTGTTAATGGCGTGCCCTTAACTGGTCGCCTTTTTTTTACCTTTTTAAAGGTGAGTTTTTAGAGATTATATCATTCATTTTTGTATATGATAAGCATCTTAAATAAATAAGCAAATTCATTTTTTCTGGCATTTTCTTATTTTAGGTACATATATATCCAATAATTAATATACAAAATTAAATATTATTCATCACACATTTTGTATCAAAATAATATATTTTTAAAATTTATTTTAAATTTATTTAATCATTTTTATCATTGTGATTGTAGTGGCAAGGATTTTATTGCTCAGTGTCATTGCAAGCATCTGGCCTGTATATACCATAATATATTGTGTAATACATTGGCTAAGTATGACAATATGGATTTTGATAGATTCCCATGGAATATTGGAATTTTGTCAGACTTGCAGTCATCCACCACATATGCAGCCTACAATTAAAGAACGCATTTATTCCATATTATTTGCTTCCGTTATTGGCATAGTGCACATTTTTATATATCTCAATGCTGTAGATAGCAAAACATTTTGAAAACATCTATCTTTCTATGTTATCTGCTTTTTTGAAAATATTGCAGCAAATTTATTATGGCAATATGCTTGTCCTCCTGCAGTTAAAGAGGCTTAGTACTTTAATATAATCTTTATTATTTGTATCATTTCCTTTTTCTTGGGAATTACAACAATGCTTTTGTACTATATTGTCTTGCATCCCTCAAAAAGACAACATACTTCAAACGCACCAGTTCAAGCATGTAACTTTGATATTTATTTACTTTAAAAAATGAGAGATAAATTATACAATATGCAATTAACCTTATCTTATGACTTTTATAAATCTTATGATAAAATCTAACTCTCTCTTAATCTTTATTATGAAAAGAATCTCGGTATTATATGAAATAATTTCATTGTAATTAATAGTTTAACTTTCAAAAATTTTGCAAAATAAAATAACTCATACATTGTATTTCTACCATATATATAAAAAAAAGATAGGTAAATATAAATAAATAAATATATATTTATGATATACAATAAATAAATATATATTTATATATATATATATATATATATATATATAATGTTGGATTTTTATTATATATATATAATTTTAAAAAATCTTTTTTATATGCTATTGAATTTTAATACATACAATTTTGATTATATGTATTTTAATTGATTATATTTATAAGTATTTTTATATTATCTTAAAAAGACTGCATAGAATTATTTGTGCGACACTCTTATATGTATGTATAATTAATAGGGACCAACTACACATTTTTTTTTCCACTGAATAAAACAATCTCAATATTAAAATTAAATTATAAAAAAGATATTGTGATATTTTATTGATGAGAAATGTACATTTATAATTGTATTAAATACAAAAATAAACATGCCATGAATTACTATATATACATATTTTCATAATTATCAAACTTAAAAATATAATATTGTTACCAAAGAGAAAGCACTATTTAAAAACTCTAAAAGTTCATAATTTGTTAAATTAGTAATTAAATACTGCATTTTGTATAATTTTAAGCTTTATTCTTTTATTTTTCTTTATTTAATTGAATAGATATTAACATCCAATGTAGCATACAGATTAAATTAACAACCAAAAAAATAAATCTTAACTTTGAAATATATTTTTGTTTCTTTTAAATATCAATCAACTGGATTTTGTACTACTATTAATATGAATTCTTAATCTGGTGCCATCATAATTTTATGTTTTTTGCTACGTATGCGCAAGAAAGTTAAATCATTTGTTGGATTCAAGTCACGTATGACAGAACGAGCTTTATCTGACAATTGACTTATCAAACCTGCGTATTGAACTGTTGTCGTATTATCTAATGTTGACTTTATAGGAATACCTAAAACAAATATAATTTTATAAATTTTTGTTTACAACTACAAGTAAATCATGTCAATGATCTCATGTAATATCTTCTGCATTCACCACTATTGTTCCAACTACCCTTTTATGAGACTGAATTTGTTTCATAGTTTCTTCAACCTCTTATAAATTATTTCATCGAAATTTATTAATAAAATTTTTATTTTAAATATTCCAATAACGGAAGCAAATCATATGGAATAAATGCGTTCTTTAATTGTAGGCTGCATATGTGGTGGATGACTGTAAGTCCGACAAAATTCCAATATTCCATGGGAATCTATCAAAATCTATATTGTCATACTTAGCCAATGTATTACACAATATATTATGGTATATACAGGCCAGATGCTTGCAATGACACTGAGCAATAAGATCCTTGCCACTACAATCACAATGATAAAAATGATTAAATAAATTTAAAATAAATTTTAAAAAATATATTATTTTGATACAAAAAGTGTGATGAATAATATTTAATTTTGTATATTAATTATTGGATATATATGTACCTGCAATAAAAAAATGCCAGAAAAATTGTAAAATAGTTCCTATAGCACTGATATTAGATTTATCTTGTTAAGCTAATCGAATGCTGCGATGATAACTAGCCATTGCCCAACCCATGCTCACAAGTGAGCTGATAATGCTACCTGCTTGATGTACAACTGAAAAAATATAGAAGCTAATTAAGAAAATTATTAAAAATATATGCATACTCATACATAGGCATTTATATAATTGAAATATTATTGAAATAATAGCAAAATATCTGATTTTGTATCACAGACTGTAAACTTGCACATAAATTATTATGACAATAAATTTGCAAATAATAACATTAAAATTGAATGTAAAAATTGAAATTGAAAATTGAAAATATCTAACCCCGCACGCTGTCAATATAGCGGAGGGCAACTATCCGCCGTCTGTTGTAAAACGTGCGAGATGGACATTTCCAATACATGCATCTATTCATGTGTTGTGTACGTGTGATATATGTGTGCGCATGTGTTGTATACGTGTGAATACGTGTAGCACGATACTACTATGTTTGCGTGGTCGATGATGATAATAATAATGATGATGACGGGGACGTTTCTTAAAAGAAATTTTTCATATTTCGACTTTGCAATTATATATCTCTGCTTACAAATCACGTAGAGCAGAAATAAAGACACTTTTATTATATAATTCAAACTCAATCTATCGATTAAGTCTAGTATAAACTCGATTGCTTCAGCCGTTATTGAGAATTCGAAATATTATAAAGATTCAAATGTCCGACTCGCGTTAAGATACACGGTGTCTCGGCTACGCCCTTAACTGGTCGCGAGACACTACCGTGTCTCTTGATTATAACCCTTTATCTGCGAACATTTTTATTCTCTAAAAAGAACCGATAATCAAAAATTTATAAATATATTTATAAATCGGAAGAAAGAAAAGAATGCAGTTTTCAGATGGTAGTTCTAGTTGAATGAATCATCGCTAAAAAATGACCATAAAAAGCGAGAATAAGGTTTTTTATTGAAAAAAATATCTACAATTAACTGATATTAAATTTCGCTAATTTATCAAAATTTTATTTCTTTTAAGAATTATGTATAGACAAATTTTACTCATATAAAATAATTCTAAATATTAAATGCCATATAAATATATGTAGACATAAATACATACGTACATATACATAAATATATAATATATTCATAAATATACATATACGTAATATTTTTATAAAAGATATTAATTTATTTCAAGCCCATTAATTCTACATTTCTTAATTATATTCTCCGTTACTTCCTGTTTTCCAAAATATCAAAATATATTTTTGCGGTGTGCGTTAAAACATAGTAATGTGTATATAAATATTTTAGTTTATTCCATTCCATTTTGATGACTACTTCAAAATTGGTTTATATTTTTCATCATCGATAACCCATTCGCGATTCTCTTCAACTACTTTCTTCCAATATTCTGGAAATATAAGAAACACATTACACAATATAATTTTGTAGGCACTATATAAGTATATGAATTAAGACTTTTATTAATTCATATACTTAATTCGCTACGAAAAAAATCCTTTATTGTGAATCACAAATAAAATTACTTTGCCATAATTACCTATTATGTCTTGAATTGTACCATCAGTTCCGCCATATTCGACCGGCAAAATATTAACTGGCATATTTTTGAAACAATCATGCGCCGTCTGGCGCGAATAGAAATGAAATCTTTCCCTCAGTTTTTTTTTCAAAACAAATCTGGTAAGCTCCAGAATTAATTTAGCATATTCCGGCACGTTGATATAGTTGAGCAATTTCATTCTTATGGGGTAGCAACCCTGCCACGCGTGCAACGCGTTTATTAGAACGGAAGGTGTTAATTGAGCGACGTGACGCAAAGTTGCACCGCCTAAATCCACAATCAGTACTACACCGTACAAGGATGCTTCAACGCTATCTCTTAAGATTATGTCTATGACTATAAAGAAGACCTAAAAAAATTCATCCGTCCGAAAATATGAATAAATTCGAAATACCTTGATCGCTTCAAACGAATATAATGTTTGTGATAAGCGCACGTATGTGCTATTAATAATACTATATTTTAATATTATTAATAGCATTAATAATATTATAATATTAAATTATAATATTATTAATGTCGTAATTATTATAATATTATTAATGTAACATAATATTCTAATATATTATGCTAATAATATTAAAATAGTTATACTATAAATAATACCTTAACTACTTCTGTTATTGTAATTACGTGTGGGTCATGCACAAGACGAACGATGATTACCAATCTTCCTTGATCGTCCAATTTTCGCAAAGGTAAACAAATACTAAGAGCAAACAAAATATTTTAAAATACTTACACATTTCCTATATTAGTTCTGTAACTATAATAGCAAATGATTTTGTTGAAACTATAAAGTAAATATTATGTTGTATCATTAATCTAAGTTTTCAAAAATCTCATACCTCTGAATTTTTCGATATAGGTATAAATTAATTAATAAAATAATAATATAAAATTGAGAAAAATATTTTAGGAAAATTCGCCTTTAAATTGATAAAATTACTCATTCGGATAAAAGTACAATTATACAGGGTATTCAAACAATAAAATTTTAGGCATACATAAAATAAACAAAAAGTCTTAATTCCTAAGTAATACTTCAAAATCATTTTCTATTGTTAAAGAATAAATTTAATCTATACAGCAGATCAATACTTTTGAAGTATTGCTGGTTGCTCTGTCATACATAAAATTAGTCTATTTTTTAGAGTCTTATTTTTAGATATGTGTAAAATTTAGCTAAACTTAAACAACAAAAAACCAGACGTTGTCAACATTTATCATTTCAAATTAATGAGAACGAAAAATGAGTAAATAAATTGAAAATTGTAAGCAAAGAACAAAAATTATCAATAAACTCTGACCTTATAAAAGCTCGTGAGAAAAAAAAGATCGCATAAAGATTTACCATACAATACATATTCGAAATGTGTTTTATCTACAACAGAAATGTTTTATAACTAAAATATAAACGATTTTTCAAATATTATTAGTTAAGACTTTTCGGATTATTTTTACGAGTATTACATATACTTCTAAAATTTGGTACCATCTTTTTGTGCACCCCGTACAAGGCAAGCTATATGTTATAAAATTATAAAATAAATACAAAATTTTAAAACTGCATTTAAATTTTGTCTAATTTATTAATTAAACGAATTGAATTCGGCAATATTATTATCACCATTAACATCTTCATAATAATATTTTGGAACTGTTACCCCAAATCAAGCAATTCCTGTAATTTCGGTTGTAGTGGATCTCGATTTGCATACCATTCTGGTAATTTAGCTCGTTGCATTTGATAATTTTGCATTTTTGTTTTAGTTTTCTCGATATTAAATTTGCAGACTCTCAAAAATCGCAAAATGGTGAAGTCATCTGCATTTAAATTTACATATTATCTCAAATATAAATTATAATCAAAACATTGGATAAATTTTGTAGAATCATGAATCTAATTTCAGAAACGGCATAGTTTTCTAACATTTTTTTAATAGAGAGTGTAATATATTACAACATTTCTTTCACTAAACTCTATGTGAAAAGGAAAAGTCAAAATTATTATTAAAATTATTATTTAATTACTTATTTATTTGTATCTTTCTGCAACATTACGTAGTTTAAAATGTTTTATTTATGAATTGCAAAGGTCAATCTTGAACATTGAAAGATATTGATATCCGTATAGATTTTTTGCACTTGTTTTTATTTTTACATCATAATTGCTAAATAGAAATCTCGTAATTCTAAGTATGCATTTAGTCTTAATATAGAAGGATATTATTTCGTTATATAACACTGAAAGATAGCACGCGATGATAATACGCACATTTTATAAATACTTGTGTAATACTTTTAAAATTTAACTTTAAGAAATTTTCAAATTACCATTCTGTAACAAAACCATGTAAGATTTGCCACCTATTTTTTATTAAACAAAACTCAACGAATTTTACATAACAATACATTAAGCTCCATTATAATCCATATTAATGTATTAATGCTACTGAATGTTAACTTTTATGCACTGGATTAATTTTAATGTTCCGGAACTAATGACCATCTAAACCGCCATTAAAAAAATATCGTATCAATGTTATTTTTACCAGTTCGTGCGCGCAAATCACTCTCTTGAATCCATCGCTTAATCTCCGAGATAGCGTTTTCTCTACCTTCGTCAGATTCATTTAAAACCTTTGCTTCGTATTCCTTTTGCTCACCCATCAACTTAAGCAGAAATTTATCGGACGAATTTTGAGATTTAGCCATCGTAACAATAATCGCAGAACTTCTGACCTACTTGACACCTTTCGTTACGAGGAAACATTCGCGTCTGCGATCGTCAGCAGTATACTAGGTGATGTAAATCAAATGAGTATTTCTTCGCGCATGCGTAATATGATGATAGCGATATATATGTGTGTACATGCGTGTTTGTTCGTTAAACATGTGGATATGCCATATTCGTTGTAGACCGTGATTGTATTCGTACGGAGAACCTTCGACGCTATATAGCTTCATCATCTTCAAATGATCTATACTTAATAGATATATAAACATGTAATCGTAACCGACGAAAATATATTTGCACATGATGTGTAAGTCATTATTTTTGTGGAAAATATGCATATATTAGGAAAAAACAATACAACTTTATTATTATTTAAAATCATGTATACGCTTATGCAAGACATGTATGAAAAGCATAAAAAATTCTGTGTAAGATATCAATTACATAATCTCATTATAAGACCGTAACTCTTTATTTGAGAAAATTAATTTTTTATACAAAGAACCGACAATTACAAATTTATAAATGTATTTATATATTGTTGCAACTAGAGCGAATTGAAATTAGTCGCGCGCGTCTTTCGCCTTTTCGTTTTCTAAAAATATACGATCAGCTGTTCGAGCGGAAGGACAGAACACGCATCGATTGTCGACGCGGATTCTGTTTACAAACAGCGCTTGCCTCGTCTTGTCAGCTGTTTGGGTTGCCAAAAGCAAACGTGTAATCTTTATGAGTGTTTGCAGATTCTTCGGACTGGCCAAATGATTCGCGGAAATAACTGCGCAACAAATAATCGATCGCGTTTTCACACCGATAACACCTGCAATCTCGAATTCAACAGATTATAATTTATTTTAATTTAATGAAATATAAACGGGTGGTTCCGATTTACCGGGTTCGAACATACAACAAAAGAAGAAACCAGTTTTCAGATGGTAGTTCTCGTTGCATGAATCGTAAATAATGATCGTAAGGAATATCATTTCTTAGAAAAAATATATCTACAATTAGTTGAAATTAAATTTCGTGAATTTATAAATTTTTTTTTTTTTAGAATTATGTATGTACAAATATTACTCATACAAAATAATTCTAAATATTAAATGTCGATATATATATACATATATACATAATTTTTATAAAAAATATTAATTTGTTTCGAGCGCATGAATTGTATATTTTATTAACTCTCCTTTTTCGTTACTTGCTGTTTTCAAAAAGTTAAAAATATATTTTAGCGTTGTGCGCTAAAACATATTAATGTGTCTATAAATATTTCAGTTTATTCTGTTCAATTTTGATGACTACTTCAAAATTGGTTTATATTTTTCATCATCGATAATCCATTCGTGATTCTCTTCAACTACTTTCTTCCAAAATTCTGGAAATATAAGAAACACATTACACAATAAAAATGTGTAGGCAATATACAAGTATATGAATTAAGACTCACATCGTTATTAGCTTTAGAAGATATTAAGTAAATAATAATTTTAAATATTATAATCCTGTATGTACAAAAAACCATAGCATTTATTTTTTTTCACAACAAAAACATCTTTTACTGTACATCACAAATAAATTTATTATTTTGTCATAATTACCTATTAATTCTTGAATTGTACCATCAGTTCCGCCATATTCTACCGGTAAAATATTAACTGGCACATCTTTGAAAGAATCATGTGTTGTCTTGCGCGAATAGAAATGAAATCTTTCCCTCAGTTTTTTATTCAAAAAATATTTGGTAAGCTCCAGAATAAATTTAGCATATCCCGGCACGTTGATATAGTTGAGCAATTGTATTCTTACGGGGTAGCAACCTTGATACGCATGAATCACGTTCATTACAACGAAAGGTGTTAATTGAGCGACGTGACGCAAAGTTACATCTCCTAAATCCATAATTAGTACTAAACCATACAAGGATGTTTCAACGCTGTCTCTTAAGATCACATCTGCGACCAAAGTTGTGACCTAAAAGAAATTAATCCGCCCGAAAATATGAATAAATTCAAGGTTTCTTGATCGCTTTAAACAAATGTAATATATGTGAGATTCGCACGAATGTGCTATTAATAATATTATAATATAATAGTTAGCATAATTATTATATTATTAGTATAATATTATGTTAATAATATTATCATAATTATGCTATAAATAATACCTTAGCTGCATTTGCTAATGTAAATACGTGTGGATCATACACAAGGCGAATGACGATTACCAATCTTCCTTGATCGTCCAATTTTCGCAAGGGTAAACAAATTCTAAGAGCAAACAAAGTATTTGAAAATACTTACAAATTTTTTTTTCAATTTTGTAATTAATATAACAAATGTTTTTGTTGGAATTATAAAGTGAATATTATGTTGTATTAAGCTAAGTTTCCAAAAATCTTATAGCTCTAAAGTTTTCGATATAGATATAAATTAATTAATAAAATAATAATATGGAATTAAAAAAAATATTTTAGCAAAATTCGACTTTAAAGTGAAAGAATTAATCACTCGGATAAAATTACAATTATACAGGGTATTCAAAAAATCAAATTTTAGGCGTATGTAGTACGTAAAAATAAACAGAAAAGTCTTAATTCCTAAGTAGTACTTAAAAAATCATTTTCTATTGTTAAATAAATTCGATCTACAGAAGATCTACTTTTAAAGTATTGCTAGGTGCTCTGTCATACATAAAATGGATTTATATTCATTAGCATCTTTATAAGATTTTGGAATTGTTACCCCAAATTAAGCAATTCCTGCATTTTCGGTTGTAGTGGATCTCGATCCGCATACCACTCCGGTATTTTAGCTCGTTGCATTTGATAATTTTGCATTTTTGTCTTAGTTTTCTCGATATTAAATTTGCAGGCTCTCAAAAATCGCAAAATGAAAAAGTCATCTGTATTAAATTTACATATTCTCTCAAATAAAAAACTATAATCGAAACATTGAATAAATTTTATAGAAACATGAATCTAATGTGGCATAATTTTGGAGACGGCATATTTTTCTAATAATTTTTTAAATACAATTAGAATAAAATAAAAATACACACCTCTTTTATTGTATTACATTTCCGAAAAAAATATTAAAAAATTATTATTTTAATATTTATGCTCTAAAATTGTCGAACCGTCATTCAAAAATATCTAACAATAAGAATCTCAAGTAAATAAAATTATTAAGTTTACCAGTTCGTGCACGTATGTCGCTCTCTTGAATCCAATATTTAATTTCCGCGATGGCATTTTCTCGATTTTTGTCAGATTCATTTAAAACCTTCGCCGCATATTGCTTTTGCTCGCTTGTCAACTTAAGCGTAATATTATCGTGAAAATTTGGAGACTCCTGCATCTTAGCAAACAATTATAACCGCACAGAACTTAATCTACTGAGAGAACACACTCGAATTTGGGATGAATTCAAATGTCACGGGCTTTTATTGGATAAATTCGCGCATGCTCATCATACCGATGACCAATATATAGATATAGTAGTTTTCAAAAGCTCTTTATTATCAATGTTTGCTCATTATTTTGATAACAGTGCTCCTCAGTAAATGTTCTTCGTACAACACGAACGTATCTTTTATAACTCGAAAATATCTTCAAATTTTTATTTAAAAGTAATATTTGATCGATAGTTTAAATATCTTTTGATACAGTTATTGCGTATAATTAATTATTATATAAAATAGAGATGACATTATTTTCTTAATGTAACAGATTACTTATTGCAAACTAATTATTACGACTAAATTTCGAAAAGAAGTATTTATATTCATTTTTTATTTATTTACATAGACATATCTCAACAAACAGAAGATAAGATAATTTTATCAAAAAAACCAAACTTGCGTCACGTGATGATAACATTTTTACGTAATTATTTTGAAGAATATTATAAACTTTTATCATAGAAGTCAGATAAAGAGACAAATAGAATATTTATTATAATTTAATATTTTTTGTCCATCTTAATATTTAGCATCCATCTTTCGCACATTTTGGAGTTGGAATAATAACTTGCAGTCGACTTTATTTTGCTTCTAAAGTCATCCGTGTATATATTTTATAAGTAAATAATTTTGAATTAATTAATTAGCGCTAAAAAATTCTTTTAGAATTTGACTTAAGTTTCGATCTGATCAAATGAGTTAAAATCCACGTTTTGTAAATAATAACATATATAAAAATATTATCATCACGTGACGCAAGTTTGGTTTTTTTGATAAAATTATCTTATCTTCTGTTTGATAAGATATGTCTATGTAAATATATAAAAAATGAATATAAATACTTCTTTTCGAAATTTAGTCGTAATAATTAGTTTGCAATAAGTAATCTGTTACATTAAGAAAATAATGTTATCTCTATTTTATTTAATAATTAATTATACGCAATAACTGTATCAAAAATAATTTCTTCTTTTGAATATATGATAATGAGTATTTCTAATATTTGTGACGAGTTTATTTTAACCCATACAGCACATAAGTTTGCAGCAATATTACAACAACATTGCAATATTGTACAGTGCATAGCAATATTGCTGAAATATTATATAGGCATGAATTTGCAATATATAATAGTTTAAACAACGTTGCAGCAACATTTCAGAAATATTATAAAAATAAAGTTCACGCAAAAAATATTAAGCACAGAACATTCAGTCCGATCATGTATTTGGCACATTTCCTATAATCCAATAGTAATATTACATATATATTTTATTGCATTATTGCTGCAATGCTATAGAACAATATTTCTGAAAGCGGACATTTTACCGTTGCTGCAATCTTGCAGCAAGATTGCTGCAACATTTCACAACGTTTATGCAATGAAATGTTGCCATAATGCTGCTGCAATCTTGTTGTGCTGTGGGAAGTCTATTAGGAAGAAAATATTCTTTGTTAACGCTAATTGTTACTTAAAATAAGAAAGGTAAAATAATAGTATATTGTGTATCAAGTGCGGAAAGTTGACAATTGGTCACGAGTGCGGGGGATGGACGCACGAGCCGAAGGCGAGTGAACAATTGTCAATCCGCACGTGATACACATACTATTTTGTATTACAAGTGCAGGCAAAGTGGCTTTGTACGCGTTTTCTGTGCGCGAGGTGGCCGATCGCACGCCGCCATCTTGCGGCGGCACGGTGCGAGAATAGCCGTAGGCAATGGCTTTGAATGCGGTTTATTCACTCACCGCGTCGCCGCTAGATGGCGGCGTGGGAAATCGGACGCTTTCCGCACAGAAAACACGCACACAAAGTGCCACTTTGCCTGCACGTGTAATACAAATAATAGTTTCCTTAGCAATAGAATGATATTTTCCTATACACGGATGACTTTAGCAGCAAAATGAAGTCGATTGCAAGTTATTATTCGAGCTCCAAAAAGTGCAAAAGACGGGCGATAAGTGAAGGTTTTCCGAAGTAGGAAAAGAATGAAAAAACTGAAAAAAATGCAGAAAGCGCGGAAGAGCATCACTCGAACGAAACGATCGAGCAGCCGATAATTACGCCCAGTGGCCATTAATAAACTAATCCTCCGAGAATTGCTTACGGGCCATCCGGAGCAAAGAACCCTGCCGCTTTATCGGCCTTTAGAATCTCCGAGTGCTCAGGGCAATCGTCAAAGGAAGAGACGGATGAGACGGAGGCTGCGGGAAGAGGGGGCCGATTTACAAGGTTTAATGACTTGTGGTATCAAACGGCCGGGAGGAGAAAAAAAGGGGGATAAATGAGATGAGGTGGGTCCGAAGTCCCGGCTAATCACCGACGATATTAATGCGTGGCGTATGAAGAATGCGGCGAAAACCGCGCTTGAGTTCGGTAAATTGCTGACGCTTCCTCGGTGGTTGGAAAAAAAAAGAAACGCACGACGGCGCGTCAACCGTTAATTGAATCATCCATTTTCGAATATGCCTGCGAAGAGGAATAAATTTGTTTCATGAGTAAATTACCCGTACAGCACAAAATATTGTGTTCCAAAAATATTTCTAAATATTGCGATAAATTAGTGCATAAAACATTTTAAAATGGTTTTAGGAATATTTTTAAATAATTTAAACATTTTTGGTGATAACATTGTTTAGAATATTTTCAAAAACTTGTAAAAATACTTTCGATAATTATTTTAGCTTTTAAGAAATATTTTGAAAAGATTTTTAACATCTTTTGTGCTGTATTAACTTCATACGGGTTTGGATTAAAAACCTATACGGAATTATTCGGTTAAAAAAATTATCTCGGAGAATATTCTTTAAATTAAGTCCTATTTTTAATTAACAATAGATATAAATACAATAATTATATAAATAGCGATAAGACACCTCTTTATCAATTATCAATTATCTTTTATCAATTTTTAATCTATTCAAAAATAAATACACTGCCATTTGATCTATAGTAGAAATTGTACACTGAAAAAAAATGTATTAACTTGACTAAACCTTTCGACTAAATATTATTTTGTTAATTGAATATGTAAATATTTAAATTAAATGTAACATATTAAATCTAACAAAACATATATTTAACAAAATAGTAATTTAGTTAAAAAAAATAGAATAATTAAGTTTTATGACACATTAAGTTACAATATAATTTGATGTAAAAAATATTTATTAATTTCAAATAAATAATTGATTAGGCAATATTGAAATAAATATTTATTAATTCAATAATTTTTTCAGTACAATTAATTTAATATTAGACATATTCCTCGTCTCGAGAGAATTTTCTGAGATACAATTTTTCCGAATAGTGGAAGCGATAAATCGATAATGATAATAACGACACCGGTTTAATCTCGAGTCAACGGGTGAAAACTCGTGTGAAAGAACGAAAGGAAAGAACCTTGGCATTAGATAGCCAGGGGGTGGTTCGCCCTTCATCATCGCCAGCAGGGACAGAGAGTCGTGTACGGTAATTTACCGATAATTTCTCAAATCGTTGTCCTTCGTGCAAGTCTGAATAAATCGAGAGAGAAATGATCCTCCTCGGGGAAAGAGGAGCTGTCCTTGAGTAATATCTTCCTAATTACGACGAAGGGTCGTTGAAAAACGCGGATCCTCTAATTCATCGTTCGTTCGTAGGCGTACAAAAAATGCCTAACGGTCTCGGAGATCCTGGATATACATATATATATATATTTCAAGCGTAGATCTCTTGAACCAACGACCACGAAGAATATTTCATACGACGGAGATGATAAATAATACCGACACACGCGATATCGCGTTTTCAGCATTAATATTTGTAAATTATGCACAGGATTGGTAATTGGAAAAAACATATGTTGCAATGTATCTATTTTTTTTTTAATTGTAATAAAAAAAAGTACACGCATATGGGGCGAAGAAAATTAAACGTACACAAGTAATGTGTATTAAAATGTATATAGATATTTTTAATCAATAAAGTTATTTTTAATAATTTTAAAACAATAACTAATATTAAAAAAAATTAATTACAGATACTAATTTTAGATATTAAAAAATGTACATATAGGGGGAAAAATTAAATACACATGAGTAATGTATATTAAAATGTAAATTGCTGCTTCAGGTCGGTAAAATAATTTTTAAATAAACAATTAATGTAAAAAAATGTAATTATAAATGTAATAATTTTAGATATAAGAAAATGTACACATACAGGGAGGAAAAGATTAAATGCACATGAGTAATGCATATTAAAATGTAAATTGCTACTTTAAATCGATAAAATAATTTTGAATAATTTTTAAATAAACAATTAATGTAAAAAAATTAATTACAGATGTAATAATTTTAAATTGCATTTATACACTAATTATTGTCGAAATAATGGTTATCGCCTGCATGAAAGACGGCGCGCTTTGAGGGTTGTTTGAAAATCAACGCGAGGCAAACGAGCCAATTGTAAACCGCTGAAATCCAATTAATTTCGCGGACAGTTGATTAACGAACGGCTACTAATGCGATGGGCAAATGCAACTCGCGCATGCGCGCGTTTCGACCCGCGCGTCGAAGGCCCGCGGACACAAAAGATGTGCTTTCGATTATTAATGAAGTGTCTTTGTCCGTAACGAAACGTACATTAACCGCTATACGGTTGGCGGTCGCCATATTTATTATACCGGGGTACCGGGGCAAATTTTTACCCGAAGTCATCCTTTCCAGATGATGATGCCACGAGTTCGCATTCCTATCATTAGACCAGTTGCGGAGGCGCGATAGTCCATAATGTATTTGCGGTCTTGTCTTAACGATATTCATGCCATATTTCGCGATGCAACTCCCTCTGTATAATTTAAGTTTACCTTCCGCGTTCTTATTCGCGGATACCTCGCGCGTACGCTTAATTGGAAAAGAGGATTAGATTTAAGTAAGGGGATCCTAAGCTAACCTAAGTTTCCTTCCTGTTTTATCGACAAAATGTGAGGTTAGGTAAATTGTAAATCTATTTATTGGCTATACGAATTGTTTTTTTACTTGAAATTAGAACGCTTCGCCCTTTGTTAGTATTAATACTTTAATTTATACAAGGAAAAAGATTTATTAATCTGTATAATTTCATATATCTTGGTTACAAAATT